GAAGGAAGGTATGCCAACCTACGTGAACTGGCTTCGCAAGTCTGGGCCTCATGAGGTTTGAAGCAGGGCTTGGCGGGTCTCAGCACAGGTTTGCATGGCGGAACACGCTGTCCCTGAAGCTTCGCGCGCACCCCGAACGCTCTTCAGTCATGATCGCCATGAGGGAAGACAAAGAGTGCAAAAAAAAGAACGTGACCATTTCTTCAGCAGCATTGGCAGCAGTTTAGCAGCAATACTATTACACTCGCCGTTTGTATCTGACAGTGTGTTGGCATGACCTTCAGGAGGAAGGTTCATGAGCAGAATAGGACTAGATGCCGTTCACAATCTGTCGGAGTTTTCTGGACTAGCTTGCACGGTTTTGGGCACGAGAAGGCTGGTAGAAAATGCTTATCATGCCATGGGAAGGGCCACAGACTTACATTGTGGGAGACGCTTAGAAACCTCAAATTATGCCAGTAGTGAGTATGTTCAGGAGCCTGGGATGACTTTTAGTAGTAAGCTGTGTGAGGCATTGCTCTTCGGACCCCGTACATGAAAATCAAAAGATTGTCAACATCAGGGCTTAGTTGAGACTACTTGTGGCATCCAATCCAATCTAGAACCCACATGGTTCCAAGTGCCACAGATTATTTGTGAGAGGCCCTGAGAGTTGTAAGCATTATTCGTGGAATTGTGAGATTTCTCAGCACACCTAGTATGGCCAACAAAAAGTTTTTGTGGTGGTAGCGGTGGTGGTAGCAGCAGCAGTAGCAGTAGCAGGAGCGGTAGCAGCAGCAAGAGCAGGAGCAGGAGTAGTCATTCTGGTTGCAGTGATTCCTGTGGTCTCGCAAGAATGTGAGGCGGCACCTGCTTGAGGAGGTCCTGGACCTCGAGGCCCGCAAGCGCCAGGAACCCAAGACGGATTTGCAGGTGCAAGTTTCGGCAAAACACAACTAAGTGGATTCTGTGACGATCTGTGAGGTCGAGCCTTCGCAAACGCAGGTAGACCAAGCAGAAAGATAAGATATGATTGAATACTTCGTAGATGCAACGCTCTCCCGCTTAATGCGGCAAGCAAGTGCAGGCGGCCTTCTTCCTTATCGGTCAATTTTACCGAAGCCTTGCTGGGTTGCTGCGAGTGATGTCTTTCCGTGCCGCGCTCACCATCCCGCAAAACCCGCCCGTAACCCTGCCAAAGCTGCAAGGTGCTGCTGCGGAAATCGAGGATTATGGCGAGGCTGGGAGCATTTCCTGTGAAGTTGCATGGGCACTTTACATAGTGCGAGGAGAAGCTACGTATCAGGAAGTGTCAAATGCGATGAAAAGGGGCTGCCGATATGATGATGACGTTGGCCCGGTGTTACAAGCATGCTGCCTTGTTTGTCTTTGTCTCTACATCTAGGTGAAGGGCTGCCGTCAAGGCTCAAATTAGCAACTCCCCCCTCCCCTGTTGCAGCTCGTTGTGCTGTGGGGGATGGCGACGAGTCCTTAGGACACTCGTATGCAAAAGGCAAAGCTTTGTCCTGTATTCTGGACTCGAACCCCCTAAACGATCATGGGTCTTGGCAAGATAGCATCATTCTCATTCTTATTCTCGCGAGCAGACACAATTTGGGAGCTTGCGCATAAGCTTCACGGAGTTGATGGCATCACATTAGAAGGCATTAGCATTCGAGAGAAGGGAAGTCAAGTGCTTTGATACCAATCCTCATGGTCCTGCATTGAGCAGTGCTTGAAGTGTTTTGCATACACTTACAGCTGCATGTCACGTGAGATGCGCTTTCAGAAGTCATGCTGGTGATGGCTAGCCTATCTCGACCGCAAGCATTGCATTTAGGATCCATCGTGAAACATTTCAAGTCAAAAGCTTGAGCTCACATCGTGGTACATTTGTGCTTTTCAGGCAGGAGTGGCATGCAGCTCACGCAGAACAGTGCAGACCGTTCGCGTGACCCGCAGCAGAAAGGCTGCGAAAAGCGTTGGCACTCAGTGGCACAAACAACACACCTCAGAAGACCCTGCAAAATTGTAAGCTTCCAATTAAATGCCGGCAGTGGATACTGAAGACCCAACTTAACGCTGACGAATCTACTACATTGCTACAGCTCATAACAGCGCAAAACTCAGATACAGCCACATATGATCCCTGCACAACGAAGCACGAGGCGGAACATGAGAAGGCATTCATAAATCAGACAAGCGCTAGGATGTGCAGAAGCACAATGAAGCACGAGAGAGCATGTATATGCATCTATAAATCAGACAAGCGCGACGATGCGCAGAAGTTGTTAACTGCACCGCAAGCAGACACACTTGTGCGCGTACGCGTGTCTATCATGCACAACTATGCGGTATACAGTATACAGCAAAGTTTTTCTATGAGCACATGTGCTTCATATGTACTGCACTTTCCATTGATTCATACGATATCTGCCGATCCATGTTTGTGCTTGTTAAGGAGGCATGGCCTGTCGCCACCTGCTCGGCGCAGCTCTGCTGGCCTTCACTCAAGCTGGCGCAGTCTCGGCAGTGACTCGGACTCAAGACGTCAAGGCCTTGTTTTCTCGTGGTTGGCATTGGTTGGTGCTGTGACTGCCAGCGGATCTGTTTGGTTCCCGAAGACATGTCCCCCCGCAACCACAAAATCGTAGGTAGTGGCTTGTGTACGCTGAGTTGGTCTACTGACTGACACTTGGCTACCTCCCAGCGGTCATTCCAAAGCAAACTCAGATTTGCTACGCAGTCTCCCCAGGCTTGCAATTATTAGAAGCAGGGTCAGGATTCAGTGAAAGGAAACCGTACATGCCATACTCTTGTGAAATTCTGACCGCCAGCCCGAAGTCCATATACGGCATTACAACCGCACTTTTTTTGTGGAAACAACACCAAGGAATGTCCCGGAAACTGGTCCACGGGTTCCACCTGCAGTGCACTCGGTATCGCGGGTCGACGCGGTGTGGCCAGCTTTCTAAATTCAGCGCCTCATCAGAAAGCATCGCAAGCAGGTCCATTTTCGCATGTCGGCAGTGAGACCCCTCGTCATCAGATGACCAAGTATCAGAATACTCCCCGCCACCAGCTAGTCAGTAGCATGTAGACAAAAGCCTGGCTTCCGCAACTTGGGCATTTGCAGCCTCTCGGGGTCGCAACAGAGGCTCTAGACAACAAGGCACAAGCCAAAAAAGCCGTGGTCAAAGCCTAGATGGTGTTGAGGCGCCATTGCTTTTGCAAAGACCTGGCGCACATGTCAGCCTCCTTCCTGCCAACGGGAGCCTGGCAGACACAACCAGGTAAGGCAAGGGGCATCTCAAGACGCTTGATGATGGGTAGTATGGCTGCTGTGACAGCAATGCTATCCATGCTCTTTTTGGTTTGGGCTGTGAAGACGAGTAGGAAGGCAAAGCGAAGCGGACGCGGTTCCAACTCTGATTGTGCAAGAGTGCAAGATTGCTGCGAAAACAGAGCATGGAAGACTGAAGCAAACAGTCAATCTGTTCGAAAGGGTTCAGAGTTCATTGTGTGGGGTATGCCTGTAGCAAGATCCGTTGCTGGCTGGCGTAAACTTTTTCCATTCGCCAATCTGCAGGCAGAGCTGGCGCAGGTGGGTGGGCACAGTGCCACCTGCAGGCACCTCAAGCCACGGGTGAGTTTGGGCAGGCTTTTCAAGGCTGTCCCTAGCCCATGGACGACCATGACGACGCGATTGCTGTTAGCAGATGCCAATACCTTTTTTCAGACGTCGTGCGGCTTGACCTCCTCCTCATCTTGCCACAATGCAACAACTAGTACGAACAAGCAACGGAAATCATGTGGAACGCAGGTGCCGTCGCTGGCTTTGTGCGCGCAAGGTTCCACCACCTCGGGGACTGGGCCGGAAGCGTTCCTTGGCATGCTGTGCCCGCATGATGCTTATGTTCTTGGTGCTACCTTTCTCTGTGAGTGTTGTCGTTGGCCTTAGATGATAGGGCGTCTCGTGCTGTACGACTGTAACAACTGCCGTTGCCTTCAGTCTTGTAATCTTGTTTCTTGATTGCCCTCTGCCTGTGCCAGGTCTGTGCTAGCGGTGTCATGTTTGATTTGACAATTTTCACAATGCATGCAGCTGGTTGGCATCAAGGCCTCCCTGGCTGATGTCGGGCCAACCGGCATTCACCAATTTTTCAATTCAGCACCTGGGCATGAATTGGGTTTTGTTGACCAGCTGCTTGGACTGCAGCTATGGTGCAGATTTTCTGGATTTCACATCGCCGTGCCTTTGCAATCGTAAAGCACTTTTTTTTGGAGTGTTGGTGTTGGAACAATCACCGGCCAAGCGTCGGTTTCAACAGGGTGTTGGAGCAGGCCATGGGAATTCTGTCTCGGGCTCAGATATGCATAGCAGAGGTTGTGCCTGAGCCAGATGCAAGGACATCTGGCAGGACTTGATCAATTGTGCTTGTGGTCTGGGTCGTGTGTAAGTCACAATCTCCTGTTGTTGCATGATGTCTGTACCAAGGCTTTTGTCCGACTCTCTGGCCCTGAAACAGTAGGACACTGCCCTTGCAAAAGCTCCAAAACGAAAAGACTTTGTTGTGCAATTTGGACGAGATCCTTGTGCGCCTCGCCAGGACCTTTGCGCGGCTCAAGCGTGTTGAAGTGGCCTCATTTTAAAGAAGACAACAGCAAGAACAGCTCAATAGACCAAATACTTATGCTACAGGTCCACACGTGCCTGAGCTCAGAGTCCATGTTTGAGAGAGCAGTGTGACGATGCTCGCCACGTGCTCGGTGTCACTGCAGAGCTCCCTCGAGATCCATGCCAGGAAAATCCGTGATGGATTCGTACAGGATCAATCAGGAGAATGGCAGCTCTTTTCCATGTGGGATGGTGTCGAAAAAGCTAATGCTCCTGCCCTGGCTGCTTCTGTTTAGTTTTGCTGCTGCTGCTGCTGCTGCTACTCGTCATCAGGCTCGTCTTTAGCCTAATGGCTTGCAGATTGTTGCGCAGGTACGTGATTCCACTTGAAGACTTGCTTCAGATGACGCAGCTGATCCCGCATGAGACCTTGCTTGACAAGGGCAAGCTGGTCGAGCATCTTGTCCGCGCATGTCCCAGCTAGGTTGTGGCCCAAACTACTATGTGTTTTTAGTAGGCACTCTGTGGAAGGTCTGCAACTTGAGCCCTTTGCCCCCAGAGCCAAGGTATGACGGGAGCAAAGGAAATTCTATGTTTGTTTCACACCAATGGACAGGCGCAGACGATCAGTCCCATTCTGTGTTCCATGCGCAACTAAGTCCGTCTGCTGTTGGCAAGCCACCATTTTTAAAGCATGATTACACAAGATGACACGTGATGACTCGGAATGATGCTGAAACCTCTCAAGGGATCATTGTTGTGTTGGGGTCAAGCATATCACCGGCATTGGCTGCCAGGCGCCGACCATCCGGACCGCAGCTTCGAGCAGTTCGCAGTGCTGCAGGGCGCATTGAAGAATTTGATGGCCGGGGATGCAAACATTTCGGGCAACATCAGCATCGAGCTGTACAGAGGATGGCAGAATGAAATCTCCGCCAGTGATATATTCTCAAAACAGCTCTTCATTTGGTACGATTACTTCTCCTGCCCTCAACTCGATCATGGCGCCTCTGTGCACAACCGTAAGCTGGCCATCGCCAGCATTCCAGCCTTTGTGGACAAGTCTCAGTACTTCATCATTCTTTGTCCCCATGTTCGCCGAACGGCAGACAACCAGCTGTTGACCAAAAAGACTTGGGGGAGTAGGGCATGGTGCAGATTAGAGAAAATGGCTCGGGAACTCAGCACCCACGCAGACACCTGTATTTCCATCGAGATCCATGGACCTCTGCATCAGGTTGAGGCACCAGCTTATGGCCACTCGCGAAGGCATGCGAAGAAGTATTTTTCCATATGAAATTTCAAAGCAGTACTCCCATCCCGAAAGAACACCCTACCACAGCATAGAAGATCCTCATTAATTGCGCCGAAGCAGGATGATGGAACATTTCTTTCAGCCATAGAGGGAGCATTGTTCTAGCGGAGGTTGTTGAGCTTTTCAAAAAGTTTTTTAGGCACATGGTACATGGTCCGCGTGCACGGCTAAGGATGGATGCAGGCCCCGGTTGGGACAGGGAATTTCAGCGTGGAGTCGGATCGCTGGTTGGTCGCCAAGGTGCTGCAAGAAATGACGCGGAAAAAGATGCACTTTTACTTGGCTCGTGGAGACTTGCAGAACTTTCGCCTGCTCATGAATTTGCAGCGGGTACACCTCCGGAATCTCCCTGTCCAGCCAATTGATGCAGTTGTGCCAGGCTTTATCTCAAACTCTCAGGATCCAGCTACGTACCTGCTTGGAAGCTTCATGTACCAGAACGGGTTTCAGTCGACGCAGGACCGCACTTCGGAGGGTTGGTCCCCCATGTGTTTTGCAGCTCTGGACGGTAGGCCCCTGCTTTTGGCTGCTCTCCTCGAAGAACGAGCAGATGTGAACGACAGAATAACAGAGCAGTCCTCCACGACATTCGGGTCGTGCCCGCTTCTCCACATTTGCTCCTTTCTCTCCCACAATGATGCCATCCAGGTGAGTGTTTGCCAAACCCACAGACATGCTTCGGGGATCTTCGGGGGTTCTTGCATATGTACCATTGATGCATCATGGGGTTGGGAGACTCCAAGGTGTTGATCAGCAACCGCGCGGATGTGCTCGCAAGGGATGGTTATGGAGCAAGCGCTCTTCCCTGGGCAGCTTTTTCAGACAACGTGGAGGGGATCCGCGTCTTGATTGCTGCTGGCTGCGACCCAACGCAAGCTGATATGCTTGGATACTATCCTTTCACATTGGCTAGCTCCGCAGGCTCTGTTGCATCCATGAAGGAGCTCCTACCTTACACTCCCAGGCGCGCAAGTATTGGGAGGTAAACGCATTTTGTACTGGTACCGGCTTGGATACACTATTCCTATGTGCTATAGGGTTACCAGCAAATCTTTCCCAAGCCTCGCGCTGCTTTGTCAAGGTTCAAAAAGATAGTTCACGGGAAAGCAGAAATTACTTTTTGCGTTGGTTGCCGCTTTCTGTTCCACCAAATCTTTCGGCTCTGGGAATCCAGTCTGAGTGCCATGCGAGAATAGTATCCTGCAGCGTAGAATAGGGCGTCATCCTCGTTGTTTAGCCTGTGCCTCATGGTCAGTAGTGGAATCACAGCATGCAAGCAAACTTGAAGCTGACCGAAGGAAAACCGGTACTGCACACATAATGTGGGCGGAATCACCTGTACCAAAGAACAAGCCCTCCCCAGCCCCGCCATCGCACATGTTCAGCATTCGTCTTCAGAATTAAAGAGAAGCATTAAGCCCTAAACCTCAGGGAGGCGAGGTTCAGGGCAGAGGATGCTGAAAACAAAGAAGCCTAGCTCCAGGCCGGAGATCACCAAGTCGCTGAATGTCGCCATGCTTCAGGGCGGCGGATCGGCTGAGGCTGCTTGCAGAAGCTTGAAGGGTTCAGGGTCTGGTAGCACGAAGACCTAAGGGTGGTGATGCAAAATGGCAAGATCAACACTGGTCGAAAAAAAGAACTGCTGAAGCGTTCGTGCGGGAGATAGTTGCAGTGCGCTGTACAGAAATCTGACGGATTGTTCTACTTATGGTTTGTGAGTTTGCACATCATTCATGTGCGTGAGCTCGTTTGTTTCGGTAATATGGGTATTGTCAAGGATCGAGGATGGGGGAGCGTTTGCCATGTAAGCCAAATCCCGCAGGTTGTTTCCATGTTGATTGGCATGGAGGCGGACGTGAACCATCAGTCGAGCTTGCCAACGTTGAGCGTCTTGGGCATTATGTTTGGATGCCTAAGCCTGCGGCATCGTTTTCGTGAGTCCAAGTTGAGCACCTATGCCTATCACCATGACGGCCTGACGCCCCTGATGTGCAGTGTCATTACCAGCTCCTTCGAGGCTACAGCTGTCTTGCTGGGCGTGGGCGCAAGAACGGACCTCCGAAACTCTCGAGAGAAGACAGCACTTGATCTTGCACTGGAGACTTACGCGCCGGAATACATCGTATCTGCTTTGCAAGACTCCGGCAATAGTCGCAAGAACCTTGTGCTAGATGTGGCTGAATATGTGGAAAACCATCAGTTGATTTCAGAATCTTTTTGAGATGGCCATTTGGTCAAGCTCTTGCCATTTTCCTCGCCGCTCTAGAGGCGGCGCATCCTTGTTATCCTGCATCTTGCTGCCGAACAGGCATTAGCTAGATGCCAAACCAACCTTGCATTGTTGCCTTGTGTGACACAAGGGCAACGATTCACCACGTCAAAGTCAGACCAATGATCTGGAGCTACGCGTGAGGCATAGTCTCCTAGGGAGCTATCCCTTTCAATGCAGAGCTGCGCCAATTGACATCTCTGCTCGAGTTTCGTAGTTGGTTTCATTGCTCAGGTGTGCGCGGGAAGTATATACCCCTCAAGTACAAATTTCTCATTATCATGATATGCTTGATTAATCCAAGCCGTGCTCTCAGTACCAAACGGCTATCATGTTTCTATCCCTGTCCGTGTATGCCTGTGCAGTAGTAGTTGGAGACATGGAGTGTCTCCTAATAGTGCCAAGCCTTTTGCACCAATACGCCCTTGTCCTACTCCCTCGAGGATTGCAGTGATCGGTTTTGGAGGATGGAGAGGCTGTCTGCACAAGCATGCCTCTAAGCCTCGATTTTGTCACCAAGCTCGTGAGAGGAATAACAAGCTGCAGCATTGGGATGATAACAGAGGCCCTGGAGCAACCAGTATACAAAACCTAAGATGTCAGTGATGTCAGTAATGTTCGATCATGCGCCTTCAAACTTGGGAGTCAGCCATGGGACAGTATCTGTTTTCGGAAAGGACATCCAGCAAAGCCTGCCATGCCAATTATTTTCAAAACGAGGACTAAAAACGATTTACCTCATCATATGTGTGCTTTGGAAGAAGTTTGTGCAACTCTAGCGGTCCTGGAGCTATTCGCCAGGAAGCTGATGTAAGCAGGCATTCTCTTAGATTCTGACTTCGAACTGCCCGATGTTATTGCTTTTGGCACCGTCGCAGGTAGATGTGTAGGCAGCTTGGGCATGTTCATATTCTGGTACTTCAACCATCACAGGCTATACTCATTACCCTGTGTACTGTAACAAGACACCACCACTCTTATTACTTCTACTTGGCTGCTTCCGACAATAGCGGCAACGCCAGCACATACCATCAACTTCTCATACCGTTAAGCAAATAGGCCATTTCGATGTCTGTTGTAGCTTTTCCTGGCCACCTTCATTGAGAGAAACACTCCCAGTAACAGCAGCATAGCTTCTCAAAAGCTCTGTATTTTCTCACGATTTCACTTGCTATCATGTCTATCATCAGCAGAATAACTCCTATATATACCCCACTGTACTATTATCGTACTTGTCTATAAACCCTATTATAATATACCTAGTGGTTTCCATTTTCTTTTCCATTATCCCCATAGATCCCCATAGAAACAACAACTGAGGCCCTAGCCTTGGATTGGTGCCTCTTCCTCGTCATGGCCACCGCTGCAGCCGCTTGGCGACGGGCAGCCCGCGATCGCGGGCTCCTGGCCTCCTTGCTGGGCACCTGGTCTTGGCTGCGAGAAAACACAGTGAAGGGTTAAGGATATCACTGGGTTGCTGTTAAGGAGCTTAAGTCAAGCTGTTATATTGGGGAAAACCGATTAGTCACTACATGTACCCATTATGGGGATATATTGGGATCATGGAAAAATGGAAACTACTATTTATATTGGGGACATATTGGGATAACGGAAAAGAAAATGGAAGCTACCATTTCGGGCTTAGGGTTTAAGGGCTAAGGATTTAAGAGCTTAGGAGTCATGGCGGACGACCTGTACACTTACTATATCTCAAGCTCTTTCAGTGACATCCTTTGACGATTCGAGAGTTCTTGGTCTAGCCTGAGCAAGCTTGGCGAGGACCCCTGGAAGCCTGTTGCAAAAAGGCTAAAGCTCCCTGGGCCCTAAACCCTAAACTCCCAAACCCTAAACTAAGCGATAAGGGGTTCAGGGTTTACAGATGGCCAGGTCATACTGTAAAGCCAAAGTCAGCGCAGTAGCCAGGCTACAATGCAATGATAAGCGTCAATAATCTCTGTACTGATTTGATAAGGCAACGACCCGTAAAGCTAGCTTTGGAGATTGCAGTATCCTGGTCTTTCGTAACAAGAAGCCATGTTGGCAAAGTTTTTCTGGTGGGGTTCAGCGTGCAGGGTGTTTGGGCTTGTAATTTTAGCCTGACTGTTAGTGTCAGGGTATGGTATGGTAGGGGTCGAAACTTAAAAGGGGACGGGTGGACGCATCTGCCTAGCGTGGGGAGAAAAGTTGGGGCCACTCCAAGTCCACATGCGGGTTGTGTTTTTGCCTTTTGGGAGTTCGGCTTTGGGCTGTTAGCTGTCAGAGTTTCAGCAGCTGAATTCGGGCCACCGTTGTTGAAAGGGTTGCGAGCTATCTCACAAAACGCACCCATGCGTTTGAATTAGAAGCGCCAATTGTTTGCCATCGAGTTAAAGGGCTGCAATCAGAGCACGTCGCCACTTCGATGGATTCCCAAAGATTTGGAAGGCTGTTGTGGGACCACTAATGCAGCCCCTGGCCTTCGTATTCAGAAAGTGTAGCAGTGTAGCAGCCTCAGCAGCCTTCAGAAGCGTTGGAACATTTCAAGCCACCTCGTACACAAGCTATATATAATATCTAATAATATCCCTAGAAGCCCCCAGTTCCATTTTCTTTTCCATTTGATTCTCCATTACAGGGCTTATTAAGGGGGATTCAAGTAGCTTCCATTTTCTCTTCCATTATCCCCTTAGACCCCCAATATAAATAGACAGGCGTATCAGCTATCGCGAAAACGGCAAGCAAAGCTCACAAGCAAAAAAAGAAAATGTACTGCCCTAAACCCTATAATCCCTACATCCCTGTCTTTCAGGATGGGTTTGCCTTGGCGCTGGTTATGCCGTATCCGTCTTTGCAGCTTTGAGATGACCTTATAGTCCCCTTAAGTAGAGGGTTATATGAGGGAGTATTATAGGGGTTCTTGAGGGGGATACATAGTCCCCCTTAACGAGATAGAATATTAGGGTTATTTTGGGGTTATATGGGGATCATGGGAAAGAAAATGGAAACTACTAATTTAGGGTTTAGGGTTTAGGGTGTATAGTCCCCCTTAAGCAGAAAGAACATGGCTTTGGGTATATTAACGTAACATACCCATATACCCCATATTATATTTACTTAAGGGGGACTATAGGCCCTAGAGACTCTGTCGCAACAGGCTGTGATGTTGGTGGTGCTGGTAGCCCCAAGCATCTGAGTTATCATGCGCCCTCGCCTCCGTTTCTGGGTTATCCTTGCCAGCAGCCCCCCAAAATTTCGTGCAGGATGGTAAAGGTAGCTCACTTGTAGAGGCAGGATCTGCCCCGGCTTGGCATACTTTCATCACTATTACCATCACTACTACTAGTATAATTACTACCACAATGTTATGTTTACCATTATTCTTACTATTATTCTTATTGCTAGTATTAGTAGTAGTACTGTGGTTACTGTTAGTGCAAGTATGCCTGAGTTCAGTTTTGCGATTTACCTATTTGACGAAGCCGCGGACCAGCATCCCCAGTAGACTTTGTTTGTGGGCAACGTCAAGAGGGCTGAGTTGATGACGAATGCTGACAAGAAGAATGATCAAGGGACTCCACTACGGGGCAGACAGACACACACAGAGAGACAGAGAGAGAGAGAGAGACGCATAACCGTTAGAAGAACAAGCAGAGAGACACTGTACTGTTGGGTTTTCACTACGTGGATCGCATCTCGTAGCACATGGAATGGGGCCAGAGGCGTGAGCGAAGCACTCCCTCTAACTTTGCAGACATCGGGATCATTTTCTTTCTTCCCTACTAACCACCAGTATGCTTGAAGAATGAACTTCATTGCCCCAGTGGAGCAATCGCGTAATCTAATCTCGCAAAAAAAAAACAAAGAACAATAGCCAAAAACATGTCAGAGGTGTGCATGGCAGTTTGGCAATAATTGATGGGAAGTGTGGGGGTCTGGGACTCGACTTCTCAGAGGCATCTGAACAACAATGGAAATCTGAGCTCAAACTTGACCTACTGGGGGTAAGTAGAAAATGAGGCAATATATGATATGTAGGGATTACATATGGTGCCCACTCTGCTTGATTTCCGGGGAGCCAGCGACACACCGCTAGAAATGTGCGAAAACGGGGCCGCTTGCGGCGCCCAGGCATTGCCAGGCCCCCCAAAGCACAGTAAAAGAGAAACGCAGCCAGTAGAAGAAGCAGAAGAAGAAACAGAAGAATTGTGTTGTACTTGTAGTGCGGATGCGCACTAACAATCAGGCTAAGAGTAGAGTCCTTAGTGGTCATGACAAAGCTCGTAGTGCAAAAGAGGCAATTCGTGGCCCACACCATGGATCCAACTGGCTGGCGGGCTATTTGCTGGAGCTGATATTTCTTACTGAGCATCTCGTTCAATTTTCTGGATGCCGATGAGTGTGAACATTTACATTTCAGAACTTCAATGCAAAGGTGCAGAACGCGTGCGGACACATGGGCTAGTGAGTGCCTTTCAGCTGGTGATGTGTACTTACGTCAGTATTGCGGCGCATGGGGGGACTAGAAAGTGGATGCGCCAGCTAGTTGAAGTATTGGCTTGGGGATGGGGGACGCCATGGTGCTGACATAATCATGCTGACATGGTGGCAGACTCGAGTCGGAGAGGTCTCTTTCTGGGAAAGCAGTTGTAAAGCGCTCATGCAGAACGTAGTTGCCTTCAGGCTTCCAGCTTGAATGGTCGGTCTTGCTTTCAGCCCTTTGAGGTTTCTGAAGAAAGAGGGCCCACCAGGAGTTTTGGTGAGTGAAAGGCGGCAGTGATGCTGGCCGTGTGTAGATAACGCTTCACAAATTGTCTTCCGAGCCATGTGTACGGCTAGCACGCCACTCCCGGTCCTTTGGAGGTCTTTGAGAGATATCCTTGCTAAGCTTCAGCACCTTGATGGCAGACCCTGAAGTAGTTAAAGCACCATCCCACTCAGCCGTCACTGCAGTATGTATGTACAACATGAACATAGATACATGTATATATATATATACACGCCAGGAATCATCAGGAATCCATTTTTGTGCGGGTAGAGCAACCCAGTTTGTTTTGAACACCCTATCTCTCGCTCTATACTCTTTCCTCATCTCGTTTTATTTTCTCATCCCTAGGAATGTCTTTGTCTTCCACGCGATCGCCGAAGCCTTTCAGCTGTCCCGGGCTGCAGCGACTTGCCCCACTACATAAGCCTAGGCAGCTACGGAAGGTAATGCTAGTTATGTCTGTTTTGATTGCAGCGGGAGTCCAACAGAGTTTCCAGCATGAGGTTGATTTACGTTAGATATTGAGAGTCATCGTGGATTGTGGTGGGGGTTGAACTCTCACCCACTTGGGCGGGATCACAGATTGGAATCCCCCGTAACGCCCTAGATCTGTCGAAATCAAGTTCAGACTTCAAACCATGATTTTTTGCATACATCCTGCTACAACGTTGGGACCTCAGAGTCTTGTAATTAGTGTTCTGGCGCCGGTAGGCCCGACGAAGGATCACGTCAGCTGTCGTGTAGGAATCAGAAAGCTGCACTGTGTCTCTAGAACAGACAAGGCGCCATCAGAAAGTTGCAACATGCTGTCCTGGTGTATTGTGAGCTTTTGCTTGGCCGTCGCGCTTTCAGAGGTCAGGCGTTCAATTACCCCTGCGCCGCCCAGAAAAAGTTGTTGAATTCTTAGCTGCGCAGTGGGCGCCATCCCGCAGGCAAATCTGCTCCCATCTGTGTGTCTGCATGCATGCATGCATGCATGCATGCATGTATGTATGTATGTATGTATGTATGTATATATGTACGCATGCATGTTTGTTAGGGTCTACATGTGCTCCCACATGTCCTTGTGCAACCAACAGGTGTCTGGCTGCTTGACGGTGGTGGCCTGGGGCCAGATCGCCTTTGATGCTGCACCTGGGCTGTCAAGCATGGTATGTCTGCTATGGTGTGGAGGGCTCGCAGGTCGTCGGCAGGGTTTTGGGCTTCTACTTGCTGTACAGGCCTCATGTTCTTGGCTTCTTCTCCATGCCTGTCCCCAGTCCCAAATAATTCGATTTCATACGATTTCTCAAGCATCACCAATACTGGAGAAGAAGCAGCTTGTAGACATGTTGAGGACCCTGTGCCCTGTAGGGTTTTGAGTGACTGACTAACTTGTCGGGCTGCAGCATGAGACTGCAGATTTGATTTGCCCTGGCTACAAGGCGGCCGGGAACCCTAAACCCTAAACCCTTGATAGCGAAGGTCTTCTTCATGGGCCTGGCGGAGTGGCTGAGGTCTTGGAGCCTTGGAAGTGCTACAGCATGAGATCTCGAAAGGGCTTATCAGGTGCGTTTTTACATCATAGCAAATCTGGCCAGGTGCAGGAGCTATGGGTCCGCTGCTTTCTTTTGAAGAGCTGATAGATGCTGATAGCATTTCGGATTGCGGGTATGAAGCCTTTTTGGAGTTGTGGTGTCTTTCGATGCATCTAGGCACTGCTCCTGCCCAAAAGGTAGGAGTACGTGGTACAAGGCCGTTGCAGGTTTAGTTCAATGATTCCTTGTGGGTGCGAGAAGACCGATCAGAAGACCTGGCGAAGCCATCATCGAGAACGAGGGTGCAATCAGATAGGTCTCTGATGTCCAATTCCAAACCACTAAAGGCTAGACGCCGACGGACTCTTGGGGAGCAATCCAGCACCTAAGCAAAGCGTCGGCGAAGGTGAAACTGCACAGCTTAACCTTCGATGCGACATCTGTGGAGCCTCAGATAAGGATACTGCTGCCCTACCTCCTTGGCTCGTGGCTTCTTTGCCTTGGCCTCTATGTTTTGCACCTGGGACCTTTGCAGGTTCCATGTGGAATTGTTTTGTGACTCACGGCCCCAGCGACTCAGCTTGCGCGAGTACAGAACTACCCGGTTTCAACGTGTCAACAAGTTGATATAGATGACATCGAGCATGTCACTAAGGCTGGGTTGGATGGTCATCACAGTTTGTTGCCTCACCTTCGGAAGACACTGCTTTTGTCGAAGAATTCCATGAGATATCGTTACCAATGCCGGAGCAGTATGTCCCTGCCCGATTCCGTCATTGAAGAGTAGCGTAAAATGCTCTACTTCGAGCGCACGCCATGCCGAACCTTTGTCTCCTGGGGACACCTGTAGAATGTAGCCCATCCTGATTGACCTAACGTTCGAATCATCGTTACTTTGATCAATCCATGAGATACCTGTAGTTTCGAAGCTTCTGAGCCAATCCTTTGACTGGTTGTTTCATTTGGATCGACCGCACGCTTGTCCAGAATTTGTTTGGAGCGTGTGGGCTTTCAAGAAGAGACCATGTTTTCATAGGCTCGACACGCGGCCTAATCAGTCCTTTTGTCGATTGAATGAGCACCAACGCCTGGACCCCACCTCAGAAGAAGACAGGAACAAATGAGCTCATGATCGTCGCAAGCTGCCTCAGCTGAGCCTTAAGCCTGTCGAGCTACGATATGCCGCAGGCTTCCGGTCCATCAAACCAACAACTTCCCCCACAATTACCACATCACAGCATGACCAGTCAGTTCACCGCCTTCCTTGCGTTGGTGTGTCCTGTGCTCGGTGCAAAGGAGCCACTCGCACGAGGAGCCTGGCCTTGAAGCCAACGCATCTGTTGCAAGTAGCAACTTGTTTTGCATGTGTTCTTTGGGACAGTGTGTGGGGACTGGAGTCTAGTTTGCACGAAAAGGCCTAGAAAGGACTGGATGTGCAGGTTCAAGCATGTACTCTTGGCCACTTTCGCCCTTGAATTGCAAGCTCAGTGTTGGGTGTGATGCTGTAATGATAGCTTTGCGTTAGACAAACGCCTGATTCCAGCCAGCTTGGGTCCTTGAATGCTAGTCGCTCAAAGACCTCCACCCAAGTTGAGCCGGCATCATCCTATAGCTGCCTGGTGTGCAAGTCGCAAAAATGTGAAATCCTCCTCCGCCCCCTGCAAAAAATGACACATCCATTATTGAATTAGGGCTTAGGGTCTAGAGTTTAGGGCCAAGAGCGGGGAAATGATGCTACTCTGAGGTCCTGCTGCTTCGGAGACTTCTCAAAGTCCGGTGGCCGACATGGTGAGGACCAAGCCTTGAAGTTCTCTTCTGGCTGAGCATGAATGCCTGAAAAATCGTAAATTAACTTCCAAGAAGCCTATCTTTGCAACAATATGCAGGCCCCTGAAGTGTCCCTAGTCTGACTGATGTTAGGCTGGAGGGGGAGGAAAGGGACTCATAACAGGGTATCACAGGGTAATATGTAAGGGACTGCTATAGGGATCCACTTCCCCACTCCCCCTCAAGCACTAGAAAGTTGTGCGTTAGAAGTTTAGCTTTGGCTCGTTCTCTTGCATTCAAGGCCAAGTTTTGGAGGAATGTGAGGGCCGTACTGTGAGTAGCCCCGACGGTGGCAGTTTCCTGTTTCTGTTCCATGTCATAGTCCTCAGTATCAACTCTAACCCATCCTGGGCAGCATTATTGGCAGGGGTTTCCAAAAGCTTGTGCTTTGCCAGCTTACCATCATGATCATCATTTTTTGGTACTATGTTCTTCCAAGAAACAGGTGGGCAGAAAAGCACAGGCAGTCCAAATCCTGAAGCCGCGGCATGTGGTGATCGGCATTTACCCAATTGCCTGGCTTATCCCTATAGACCCGTTAAAGGGAGCCAGGATTCCGATTTCATTTTCAATTTGTCGATTTCATTCTCCATTATTTGGGTGAGACTCCCTACGCCCTAAACTGCCCAAACCCTAACCCTAGATAATAGATTCCATTTTGTTTTTCATTACCCCAATATAACCTCTCTTTCATCCCCCAACTGGCCAACCCTCTCCGGCATCTGTTCGTCGCGGTTGCTTGGAATCATGCAAGTGAAAAGCCGCGCTTCATGTGGGGAAGACGAGGGAAGACGCTTCAATCAAGTTTCTCTTTGCTTGCTGAGAATTTGCGTCATCCAGGCTGCCGTATGATCTTATTCGCTTCCCCCTAATTTTAAACGACGTCCCCCGCCCGCCCCAAATATTAAATCATCCGGTCCCGATTTTTTTGTGGCTATTAGGGGGGTTATTCATTGAAAGAATTAGATAGAGCTATCTTTAAAATCCTGTTCGAACTCCATGAAACTCGAATAGCCACTTCATTAAGTAGAATATTTTTTTCGTTAACATTAGATAGCAATTTATCAGATAGCTATTTCATCAATTACTCAATGACATCTTTAATTACTTCATTATCCCTTGAACCCCCTAATTCATCGTTAGGTGGCCCCTTTCAAAGTAGTCTTCCTCATTCAAATGCAATCTGCAGGAAATTTGGGCCCCTGAAATCCTTGTTTAAGACTACGGGGAGGTTTTAAGGCATTACTTACTTTGGCTGCTACCTTCTAGCACAAAAATCTGCAGGAATGTCACGGGCAACCGCGTTGCTGTGGACACGCAGGAAGAGACAGGACATGTCATGGTGAGTTGCTTGTTTGAGCGTGATTAGCCACGACAAAATGAGACGCGCGCCGCTGCAGCTACAAAACGCACCTTAGAGGCTGCCAATGTGGTGCAGGATACTTCGTGGTGAAGGCCTACGAGCATCTTAAAGTGTCAGTGCTCGACGTTGCAACAGCGATACTTCTGCTGGCTGACTTCATGTTGGACATCGATGTTGTGCTGACCAAAATTGATCTCTGGCATGTTATGAAGACGCATCGAATTTGAAGAAAGGTGAGCTCCACCGGATTATTGACGTGTTCGTTGTTCTTTAGGCACTTCCACACACAGGGAGTTGGATCGACAATTACCGACCCACAAGTCTTCGGTTTCCCTAGGCTTTTTCAGGGGACCGAGCAGTGCCCTGTTGCACCTTCCAGAAAACAGAGTCGGCATGCTCTTTGCATGTTCGCAAGGGAGTCTTTTTATTAGCTTTTTTTTTTTTTTTACTTCGCTCATTGCTATTGATAGTATTGTTTTTTTCTTTGACTTGAACCTGACAGATGATGATATGCATGGCAGGGCTCATGACTCTGGAGGTGCAATTTTCTAGAACGGATGCGAAGCACTGGTTCCCCACTACCTTTAGGTCATTTCCTTGCGAGCGCGACACCATACGATCATTTGCTGAGGAGGAGATACCAAACTCTTACCTGGCATTCAGCTCCTCGGCCATGGCGGCGTTTCTGATCCCAGAGCTTTTTGCCTTGAGCCAGGCGGCTTGGCGGAGGTTGGCTCTTGTGATTGGAATGTCGGGGCTCCGTGGGCTGATGCGTCTTTCAGTTGCTATGGCTTGAGATCTTGCAGTCTACATGAGTCTACGATAGTCTACGTGCATCCTGGGGTGCGAAGGGTCGCAAGAATCGCTACAGGTAGTTCTGGCCAAAGCTGGGACAACAATTCCCCCAGCCTGGCAGTGTGGCTATGTTGCCTTGTGTTGTGGTGGCATTGGACCAAAGGACATGCTGGGCTGTTTCCCACTGCTTCACTATGGGATTGGAGTGGTTCTATGTTTCTTCGGCCTGCAGATGCTTTTCGCTTGGGCCTACGTTGCGCAGCTGCATCCAAATCACAACCTTTGTTTGTGGTCCAGTTTAAGAGTTATCCATGCAATTCGGGTACCCTTCCCGGCCGTGCCTTAGCGAAGGAGATCCAGCCCTTGGTAGCCTGCTCCGTGGTTGTCGCAATCCTGGCGGGCTGTGTGCCCGGAAGCTGCACTCTTTGAGTCCAAGATACAGGGAGATAGGCAATTCATGATTACAACGGATTCTGAAGGCCTCGGACAGGGTCTTTGTTGGGAGGCTTGTGAAGGGAATGGCTGAAGGAATTGCAGGTTCAAAAACGGATATGCAATTTAGAGCATGGAATGCACGTTCCCAACGCATAGTTTGGGTCTGGCTTCGAGAGACAAGATTGTAAGACACGGCCGCAGGTACACATGTTGAAGACTTAACAACCCGTGCCGGTTCCAGATTCCAACTAGTTCATGGTAGCGGCAGAGGTGGCTGCGTCCTTCATCCGGAAACGCTTCCAGCAAGAAGGCGGCAGCACATCGAACTTCAATTGCGCCTTTTGTTTCTGTGCGAGGTTGTACACAGACGATAGTTTTTCGTGAACTTCAAGGGCGAAGATGGAAGGCTCCTAGAAGCGAGAACATGGTAATGCCTGGTTTGCACCGCTTGTACAAAAATGGCCCAAGCTGCTCGCCAACTTGCATGGGTCGATTCTAGCTGCTGCTTGATGAGTAATTAATCCTCTCCCGCAGATGATAAATATCCCCAGTGTTCCCCCCAATATCCCACGATTATTGGGGGTATGTCTCACCGGGGGAAGTGTGGGAGCTTATGGCGCGGAGAGGATTACCAGTGAAGGGATCAAGAGCAACCCAAGGCTTCAACTAACGAGAGCAGGAAGGCCACGAAACAATTTGGGGGGTTGTTCGAAAGGTCCTGTAAAGAAGGGACCATTGGGAATGCATTTCCTAAACAGTGGATCGTAACCAAACATGGAACCTGCATAATAGCCGTGTTGGGGACAGGTATTTCAAACAACTGCCATATCATGATTGCGGTTCTTGCAGTAAGCCGCCTGCCCGAAGCGCAGGCTCTGCGCGTGAAGTCCTGATGAGGGCTGGCCAAAGCTGAGTAGATGAGACAGTCCCACTTCTAAAGTCTAAAGATTACAAAGTAAGGAGGCTGATCATAATTTTCGGGTGTCTGACGAAGATGATGGTTCCTGCTAGTGTGTTCCTGCACGAAGGATGGGGGAAGTTCAACGGTGTATGACTGGACCGTGCTTTAAATCATGAGCGTAGAAGCGTGAGAAACTCGGAATTTTGCTCTCCAGCTTATAGGAGAATCATCAACATTAACCTTTTGCAGATATGCCCAGGAATTCTAGAGATCTTCACCTTGCTGAGCCCGTGGAGGTCAAGTGCCAGAGAGGAGAGACTCTACCGCCATCACCAACCGTCACTACCACATCACCTGAAAAGGTAGCAAACGCTGCAAGACTAGCTGGCACAGAGTCCGCTTGGCTCAGCTGTTCAACATTGTTCAACGCAATGCTGTTGGACAACGCATCTCCAACGGGTCGCTCTACAGTTCTTGTCTCTACCAGCAGGGCCTCAGAAAGAACTCCTTGTTGATAGTTCTTTTATCCAAATCGTGGGAGGTGGTGAATGATTAGTCCCCTTAACTTTGAGAAGGTAACGCCCATGAATTAGGGGGACTTCAATGTACTTGGAACCGAGAAAGTCAACTAATTTGCAGAAACTCCAATTATTGAAGAATCAATGGCTTTGCTGAACTGGGACGGCACAGCGACCCTTGGAGGGCTGATCCCGGCCATACCCCTGAAGCGCATCTTGGTTGGGTACTGCCCCCGCTCTGTAAGAGTTGGATACGATTTTTTTTAGTTATATGGTAGGTTCCCAAAATCAGGGAACCCCAACATAGATCCAAAAATACTTATAGGGACACCCAAAAAGGAACCCCCCAATTTTGGGAAACCTCCATATATAGCCCTTAACATGACCCTTAGTATGGACTGTTACAGGGTGGGGGCCTTGGCCCTGGAATCGTACTCAAGTAAGATGCAATGGAAATGACAATCATAAGAGTAATCCTGGTTTAGGGCTTAGGGTTTTTGACAATAACACCGGCATTTTGGTAACTCAGCAAAGTAGTAAAACCAGTACTGAAGCTGGCAGAGGTCGTAAAAACGTCATAGTGCGCTTTTTGTGTGCTGGACTGTTGACTGAGATGATCACCCAGCATGAGAAGGAAGATCCGTAATGAATCGCCTACGCTTGCCATTGAAGTTTTGGGGACATGGGTATCAGCAAGGTGGGGGGGTTAGAGCAAGCAATGGCTAACCCCGC